CACACAAGGTAAAATTGACTGACCACATTCAAGTTTATTGACGATTTTATAAACCATATTCACGGTTTATTGGCTGGATTAATTGGCCGTATTGTGAAAATTTATTAATCACTTAATTGGGAGGCTACACCCACATGTTACAACTGCAGCTCTCCGGTGGACATAACATCTAATTGGGAGGCCACACAAGCAGCCCATTGAAGTCATCGATGCCATAAGTATCATCCTCACTAATTAATTGTTAAGCATTGGCAGGGTGGATTATTTTTTATTTTAATAAATATGATTGGTTAAAATTTGTTTTATTTGCTATCAGCTAAGGGTTCAGGTTCAATTCCTAGTTTAAGATAAGACGAACTCATACTTGAAATACTAAACTAGGCAAGGCATAGACGATAAGCTCCCATGGTTGAATGAGGTATTATTTTTACAATAGTACTTCAATTCTCTTTGGTAGTCTTATCGTTACACATTGGAGTACTGGTTCCGGTTAAAATATGGCTGATTCTGTCTGCGCGTACTTATCTTGACAAGCAGAGTGGGCATTCCGATTGTTTATTATTGTGCTTTGGATTTATCTTTTTTTGTCTTTTGGTTGGTGTTGCATCGAAAGTTACCCTCCCAAGGCAAATGTCTAGATCTGTCACTGAGCAAATGACCTTCTGTTTAGCAACTTGCAGAATCTAGTCCCTTTTCTACATAAACATATAATACATAATACTGTTTATGTTAAACCCATACACATATAATACTACCTATACTTTTCTAGGAATTATGACAACATTTAAAGATTATTTTTCTCTTCTTTTACTTAACAGAACACATTCGATACAGAACTGTTATGATTGGCTGATTCGACCTCATCTCAGTTTAACATACACAGTTGCAACAAATATGTAAAAAACTTGTAGAAAATACAGTATATATAAATCTCATTGGCAGGTAAGTATTATAATATAGGTACTTAAAATTCGTATCCTAATATTTGTCAGTTTAAGATGGAGCATAGAAAAAATCCAAAAAGCAACTGCATGATTTAAGCAATTCTATTTTTTCTTACATATTATCTAAGTGCCTTATATTGTATACCATTTTTCTATTCGAGTACTAGTTGTCGTTACGACCATCAATATTTACGTAAATATTTTCTTTAGACTATCCTTACTTCTAAATCTACTGTTTTCTATATTATCAACTTTACCAAGCAAAACCACGTTTTTAACGTATATAATAACACTCTTCTTATAAAAGGCTGAGTATTATGCATCTAGAAGAATAGAATATCTAATATCTAGAAGATACGAATGCAGCCTTTTTGTTTTAAAGTTTGCGCTTCAGTCGTACATTTTTCATCATATTATGATGTCTTATACAAACTCGGGCAGACATACTCGACAAACTCTCAACCATATTTTGAAGAGGATCATAAGAAAATCAGGGATACCTAAACTAAATATCAAAAAGCCATGCTGGGGGCAACGATAAAATTGTATTTTATAATTGTATATATTGTAAAAGTAACGATTGTCCAAGAATATTCCAAAATTATAACCATATAAAATAATAACCAAATTTCGTCGGCAACTAATACAGACTCCAGACTTACTATTGGGCAACCGGACAACCAGATTTACTATTTTGGCATTTAAATGTTGTATTTTGAATCGATTTGTTAGTAATGTTTTTGTCGTTTTGATGGTTAAAGGACAATTTATTTTTATGCTGTTAATATTGAAATAGTAATAATTATTTGTTGTGCGTTCTACAACTACTTAAATATTTATTTTTATCTGTATAACAACTTTAAACTGTATACGTGTTTACTGAAAAGTAAACTAGTGCTATTTTAAAATGAAATCCATACAAGTACGACTCAGCACCGCAATAATATCATTAAAAGGACCGAAATTACTCACCTCTAATTACAAAATGTGATTTTTGAAGATTCTGTTAGAAATGAATTGGTTCCAAAACTACTCTTATAAGAAATCAATGCAGTGAAAAGTCCTATTATCATTCAAACTGAATTCTACTCGGTAGTGTTGTTTGGAACGAAATCGGTACACGTAACGACTCAAAATATCGATCGGATAAATAACAGCAACGATATTGCCCACCTCTAACTAGAAAATGAGTAATTTTGAAGGTTATATTAGAAATAAATTGGTTCTAACGTGAGATATATTTCAGCACTGGAAAACTTTGTTATTAGTCAAACCAAATTCTATTTCATTCGGTACTGGCACAGAATAAATAACAATCAAAATGCTAACTCTCATGCCGCCTTTGAAGTTTGTCAGCACGCGATCGTCATATATTAAACGGAAACAGAGTCGAATTGAGAAATTTGTGACAAGCTATGACAGAACTGTAATTAAAATTTTTAGAGATTAATAATTTAGTACATTTGAAATAATTTAATCTATTCTTCAACTAAAAGTACGAATAAAATAGTGCATTATGTCTATAGTTGCAGTAAACAATTTAAACCAGGTTAATTTTTCTATGTACACCAGATAAAATGTCACTGAACAGTCTAGTTCCGTTTAAAACAGCTGATTCCGTCTGCGCGGACGAGATGCGCTTACTTATTTTTTCAAGCAGAGTGGGAATTCTGATTGTTTATTATTCTGTGGTACTGGGTAGTTCTGTTTTGAAACGAAATCCGTACCAGTAACGATTCAATTGGCGCAATAGGAGTATTTGAAGATTCCTTTGATGTTCTGAAGCTGATTAATGATGAATATCAATGATAGAATATAATAAGTGGACTACTGATAATATGTTCAATCTGCTGAAGTAACCAGATGGTTAAAAACTGTAGGCACAAAAGTAACCTAAAGAAAAATTAAAAATTTGATAGATATAGACATCTATGACTTTTTTATTTAATTGTTTTTAATGAAGTTTCATAATATAATATTTATTACCAAAAACATAGATTTTAATGACTTTCTAACTGCATAAGGATTAAACTTGTAATAACATACCTGTAGAACTATTTATGCGCCTTTACGAACAAGAGTTCTACTAATACAATATGAAAAATATGCATTTGTAATACATATGTCCACAATTTTAAAAATACACATCCAAATCTTTCTCAAACGTCGATAGGATACAAAGTAACACAACTCGCGAGTTCAAGACCCCTTCTCACTTTGAGATCATAAACCACGCCCACAAAATGTTGGCAATATCTGTTATATCTTCGTGAAAGTGTCCCAACCTCTACTAAGATTGAGTCTGACGTAGTTTGGATATCTAATTAAAATATGTGAAAATCAGAAAAGTTTTAATATTATAACGAATAGGAAATGCTCGAATGACTTGAAAATCATTTAAGACAGTCTAATCTAAGTAGAAGTAAATGACAGATATGTATGGATGGACGGCATTAAAATTGGCTTTTTAACCCAAATTTCAACCTCACCTCCAAGCGGTACTCACTGTTAAATAACAAACAGAGCTGTCAGGACTTAGTATAAGCTGGATAATTCTAAAAATTTAAATTAAGGGAATTTAATTCCACTTAAAAGAAGGAAACCCATCATAAAATACAGACGACCCAGATCCACTGCTGGATGTAGCGCGGCGGAGTAGTAATGGTACTGGAATTAGAGAAAAACGCTTAATTTTATTAAATGCAAGGATGAAACGCATTTCTAAAGACATTCCACCTTTCAACAGAAATGGTAGCTGAAATTTTAACGTTACATTCATATAAATAAATTTAATCAATTAAAGAAGTACATATAGTAAGAATAATAATAGTGCATCTGCAAAAATGCCATAATTAATAAATAACCTGTAGCGATAAATTACTTGTTCTTCACAAATAACTGAGATTGACTTATAAGTTAAATAATAACAACTAGTAAGATCTGCTTAAAAACTACAAAGAATACATTTGAATTAAGTTGTCTGCCAGTTTAGTTGTGATTTGTTGAAATATAACTTCATTAACACAATGAAAACTGTAACTAAGCTGTCATTTGTCAATGGTTTGGTAAAAGGTAAATTTTGTTGTTTTTTTTTTAATTTTGATGTTTTATATTTGTATAAAAATTAGTTTTCATTAGAAATCAATTGTATTATTAAATTTTAATATTTAATTCAGTACTAAGTAGAAGCGGAGATTATTGATTATGTTTTGACAATGACAGTGTCAAAATATAATATAAAAACCATTTTTAAGTCTTTTATTTTCAGCCACAAACATTACTACGACGTCATAAGGTCTGCAAAGAACTATTAAATATATTAAAGATTTTAATTAAAATTTAATACAAAACGAGGAAGAATATTTGACTTCCATTTTATAGTAATGCCTTATAGACGCAAATAAGAAGTCGGTAAATTTTTTGAATATTAATCAAACTTTTAAAAGATTTATAAATAAGGTTTTGCTTTTTCTTTTTCATTCTGATTTTTATATTTGTAAAAAAATTAGTTTTTATTAGAAATAAATTGCATTAATAAATTTTTAATAGGAACTCAGTTCTAAGTATCAGTGGAAATTTTGTTAGGTTATGTTTTGCCAAGGGCAGCCATGGAACGTTGCTGTATTGCAGCGCTCAGTTATTTGTATTAAATGTCTATAGCAGCGTCAAAACATAACCTAAAAACAATCTTTGTCTTTTATTTTCAGGTACAAACATTACGACGACGTCGTAAGCTTGCTTTGTAAAGGACTTTTAAAAATATTAAAGATTTTAACTAAAATTTAATAAAAAATCGAACAAGAATACTTGACATACATTTTATATCACATATAAGTCTCGTTTTAGAAGCACCCAGCAAAACGCTACTGTAGTATTTACTGACTTATTACCAACATAAAAACAAAAAATTCGGATTTTTTTTTGTGGATTCAAAACTTTTGTGGATTCAAATCAAATTTTTAAAACTACTCTTTTTAGTTTTGAAACAGATCATACGATAATAGTTGGTAACAATATTCAAACAGTAAAATTTTCATATAAACTCTAGAAAACTGCACGTGTTTAAAATTTTATTGTTTTTACAATCGTTTTTGACTTCTCTGTTAACAATGTAAGCGTACATTTATTCCAAGCTTGCGGTGCCTTAAATTTTTGCTTTATATTTCTAAAATCTCTAAGGGGTTGCCTTCAACGATAAAAATATAATTTACAATTCGATCACCACTTAACAAACTGTTTATATTCTTCGTTTACTGATATTCTTTTTATAGTTTCGTAACCAATTATTATACTAAAACTAAACGTAGCTGATTGGATAAGTCTTGCACTTAGTCCCTTGGTAAACATATGAATTCCTTCTTCTACCCATAGGTCTCTAAATGCAGTGCGCATTGATCCTATTCTTTGTACTTGCAATCTGGCCCTAACTACATCTAAAGGATTTGTTAAAATTGTCGTCGTAAATCCGCCTAAAGTTCCTGAGATACTTTGTAGCAAAAGGTGAGAGAACCAACTTGGCATCAAAACGTATAATTGGTCTAAAAAAGAAAATAATAAAATTAGTCGAAAAAATCTTAAACGATGTTAAAAAGTCCGTCACAGTTGAATAAACAAGGACATCTGTTTATGGCTAATGTCAGCTAAAAATTAAAAAGCTTTAAAGTAAAATACAAAATGAAGCATGATACAAGTACAAATTTCGTACTATATAGAAAGAACTGTTGATTGTATTCTATTACTTGTGCTCAAGTAATATCTACCATGCTGTCCATATATATGGAATAAATTCATAATTCATTTCCAATTACATTAGTAGAATTTGTTTTAATGAAACGTTTCAAAATTAATTAATCAAGTTATATAAGTATAGTGTTTCCTTGGTTTCAGTGAAATCCGAATATGACATCAAGGCCCGAAAAAGTTTTGGCATGACTTCCACCACCTTCATCTGATATGGATGATTCGGGCGATGAAGAAAATGAAAGTTATACTAAACCATCTAGAACTCAAAGTTCTGAAACCGATGACAGTTCTGAAGTAAGATACATTATCAGATACAGATTCAGTATCCAAAACTGAACATTCAAGGCAGGTCAAGGCTCCTGCCAAAGTAGCAATTTTAACTAGTCTGTAAAAAAGTAAAAATCTGACTATCCTTACCAGGAAGAGTATCGGTAACACGACCGATAGTCCAATTAACACATTTGTCTTGTCTTGTTTGGTCGTTTACACCCACATACTACCTCCCCCACATTGACTTGGTAGTTGAGATTTCTCTTAGACTACAATCGTAAGTTACGGAGATACTCACTTCGAAATCTTGGCCCAAGATCCTTAAATAATTTTTGGCTATTCAAAACTTTTCTGGATAAAGTTCTTCATCAAAAACAGGAACATTATCCTCTGTGTGATGTCTAAGGAACATCTGTGGTGTTAACGGTACCAACTCATTAGCATCTGTTAAAGGGCAGGTAAGTGGTGGAGAATTTATGAAGGAAAAAAAAAAGAGCAATCATACGATTTCTACCTGACGAAATCGAATTCAAATATAAGCCGCCGTGCTCCCTAAAACTTGCGAAGCAAACAGCTTGATGAATGAATCGGCAAGGGAGTCTAAAAATTGCAGTCCAAATGCCGTTTATCGTGGCCTATATTCGTAGTGAATTCGATTTCTGGTACTCCAAATGAAGTAAATAAACAAAACAAAATGACGGTATTAGATTTTGATTTGATATGGAGTATATGGATTTGATATGGAGTATATATATATATATATATATATATATATATATATATATATATATATATATACATGGAGAAGTAGCTATACCGTACTGAGGAGATCTAAAGAGATCGAAATACGTATATGCGGCTTGTTGCTGCTCTGTATTTTTTCTTCTTATTTATGAAGGATTCGCCATTACATATGACAGTTAGTAGACTTTCATAATCAAGCGACAGTTAATAGGCTTTCATAATCAATATGCCTATAAGTCGATCCCAACAATTTTCTCAAAGTCCACTTAACAAAACACATTTGCCTACCGAAAATGTTTGTCGATCTTCTCTGGCAATAAAGCGTCGTACCATTTGCATGAACTAGTCTACCGATAACGAGGTACAGTGTTCGAGATGTAGAGGTAGTGCAAGCACTCCTGACCACGGCCATTGTACTATCCACTGTATAATTCCCCTTACAATAGAATCTTTCTGCTTTCACGTGAATTTGACTCCGCTGTCGCGCAGCTCCACGGTCAGGAGTGTTTGAACTATCTTTACTGCTCGGTACACGGTGTAAGTAAAAAGACATATCCACGATTTTTCTTCACTAGTTAAATATACAGGTTCGGCAAAGTCTACTTAATACATTGAAAGCTTTTTTAAGGTTTAACATACTGGGTGTATAAAACCGAAACAGAAATTAATGATTATTAAATGGTTCTAACAGCTACGACCAGAGAAAAGACTAATCACTTAGGAGCGTTAGAGCATTTATGGACTATCAAAAGACGTTTGACAAATTAAAACACCAACATTCGCAGAACTACTACAAAAAATAAGGTATAATACATAAATAGATGTATCTTACCTTGGTATATATGATAAAATCCCCACCATAACGCTGAATTCGGAACATAGGCCGATAAACTTGCCCAATAGCCTCTGTAAAAACCGGCGATGCCATCCATTTTGAAAATATGTTTCGCTACATCAATGGTTATCGAAAATTTGCTTTGATTCGGTTTTGTCTTCATCCCTAAGTGATTAAATTCCTAAAAAAAAAACAAATTCTAATGAGAATACTTACAGAATATTAAACAATTTTTCAAAGATCATTCTTGATTATTCACCAGTTACAATAAAATGTTTTATTTATATTTGTAAATGCATATTTCTGAAGGTATTATTTTAGATGCAGCGGCTAATGTAGTGAGGGCACACCAAGTTGGCAGAGAAGCGGATAAGAATGGCGGAAATGTTCCACCTGCTGGGAAAAGAAGTCTATGCTTTACACTTCCTTGGAGAATACGACGCTCTTGATAGATAAAGATTATCTTTGTATGGGTTAACACCATTAACAACATTGACAAGAGGGATTCGTCCAGTCTAGTGGATATTGGAAGACAAGAGCTGAAGGCAGTAATATATTTGGTGATTGAAAACTTTTCACTGAGAAAATATCTCTACAATATAGGTAGAGTGAACCATACAATCGGACAGAAGATGTCCAATGTCCATAAGAAAATACTGGCTTTTATCAAGTACATAAGACACAGGAGTTTAATGAAAGAATGAAGTTTGCTACAAATATTTCACCATCAAGTGAAGAGATTCATGAGTGAGGTGGTCTCTGATAGAAAGACATTTTTGGCTAAGCTGAAACACATAACTGGATCAGTGTGGAATGAATCTGAACTGGATCACGTGATCAAAGGTGGACTTGCCTGATTATGCTACTTTACCCATAATAGTATTACTATTAGGTATGGTCCAATATTCTGTAATGTCTGACCACAATATATCCTCTGTAATTGGGTTAACAATTAAACAAAACACTTTTTAGAGGCATTTTTTTTCTTTAGAGGTCCATTAGCATATATTGTGGTATTTTCCTACCTGTTCTCCCCTACCGTTGACACCGATCATCATAAGGTGTTGACTAAGGACGTCAAATGGAACTATTATGGTTTGACCTACTAATGAAGCACATCCTCCGGCAATAAGTGCCCTTAAACTAGAATGAACATTTTTTTGGTGTAGTATATGCCGTACGCCTTCGTAGGTCGAGATGTAGAAAACGCCTAAAATAAAATTAGATGTATGTAGAAGAAAGTTTTTATTGATTAAAACAGTCATTATATATCAAAACATGTCAATTGTTACGCTAGCATGAGAATTAGTCATAAAGAGCTCCTAATTAAATATGGAAAAGATTTATTCTTTTTCAAAGTGGAACTTCATTTCTCCCAAAAATCTTTTGCGTCTTTAAAGATGCTAAAAATCATTTTACGATTTATTTTGATATAGGTATGTTTTTTATTATTAAGGTTTAAATAAATAGTCCAAGAACTGAGGATTTGAAAAGGCATAATTCATTCACCAGCGGTCTTGTTGCTGAATATCGTTTATCATGTTGCTTTATCGCTTATAGATAAAGTCACGTTCAGATGGCAGTGTACGGATATAGGATAACAGCGTTGCCAATTCTACTGCCATTGTAAGTTTTGCTACTTTTGTAAAATAAGCAGGGCCAAACTCACGGTAAACTAAGATATGTTTAGGTAAGCTAAAGTTATTAATAGAAAATTCGTGAATGAAATAAATGGTAATAATTCCTAAAATGCTTTTATAAATAATACCGCAGTTAATAGGGAAAAAAATATGAAAAATATTCTACAGGTTTTTTAATGTTCTAAACGGTAGATAAGGGATAACTGATGATAATTCCTTGAAGAATTACAGCCAATTTTGCTTTGTTTATTTTTTAAAGAAAGATGAAGTTTGGAAAAAATCATTTTTTTGCCTATTTTGTTCCTTGTGCATTTTAGGGAAAAATGTTTCAAATAAATGTTGCAGATCTTAAAAAGTTTTTTGATTTTTTAGTTTGTAAATTAAAATACATAAACAAATGATTGAGATAATTGCAAAAAACCCCTAATTGAGGCCCCTAGAACACAAGGGTGTAAGTGCAGTTGCTTATCACTTAGCAACTGATATCTAACAACAGGCACGTACTTTTGGCTTCAAACTTTCTACATTAACAACAATAACACCATCAAAAATTACATGTCATTGAAAACATGCTGAAAACTGAAAAAGTGCTACCTAGGTTTTTAAATTTATATCGAACTTTGAACAAAGATTTTTCAAAACTTTGTTTTTGGCACTTACACCCCTTGTGTTCTAGGGGCCTCAATTGTGCACTAATTAATTAAATGTTCATAACTTTATTTTTTGCATAATGACGTCTAATATAACTACTTGAAATTATGTCGATTAATGAGTTATTTAAGTGTGCTACATTTCAACCAGATCAACTAAATATTTGATTACCTTTACTGAGAAAGAATACCTCCGAAAAACAATTTTCAATCATCTTCGTTTTCATAATCTAGTTCATCTTGAGAGTCATCGTTTAATAAAATTCTAATAGGTTTAATGTCATCTTGAATGTTGTCTACTGTCCAAAAATTATTCTCCAATTTTATAACATGGTTGACGTAATTTTTCCAATGTCCATTGTTCTGTACTTTATCATAACCTTCATAAATCAATGTTTTAACGTCGTTTTGTCTGAAACTTGAATTCTTAGAGGACACGTACCGTTTCACTTCACTCCACACCATTTCTATTGGGTTCAGTTCACAGTGATAAGGCGGACGTCTTAAGATATGTACATCTACGCGGCATTGTTCATCACTGTGATTCCTGTATTTTTCACCAATACAGTCAATTTTGTATTTGTCATAAATATTTTTAAATACATTAGCAGTTTCCAGAAGTTCATTTTTTAAGTAATCTTCTTCAAAATAAATGTCCTTTTCATAGAGCCACTCCTTAATTTGACGTTTCACCCAATATTGTTTTTGAAAATTTAATTTCCTAGAGTGATAAGATGCATTGTCCAAGATAATGACATTCTTTTTATTTTTTGGGAGATTCGGTATTAACATCTCTTCAAACCATCTTTCAAATAGATCTCCGTCCATCTCTTCATGGTAATCTTCAGCACCTTTTTTGGCAAGAAAAGTGATGTCACTTTTATCATTATTACTGTTTGATAAATAGTTAAAAACATTTAACACTATTTTTTTGCATTCACTATTTAACAAATTACCGTTTTTGAATTTTATTACACTCGCGGCCATTTTGACACTGACACGACACAAACGTCTGATATCAACTGAAAATTCTTTTAATGACTCTCAAGTATTTACCTGAATTTATAATTGCTGGCATTAGACAATAATTTTGAATTTATAAATAGGTATATTTTTTTAATTCTAAATTATTTTTTAATGTCTGTAACTGTAAATGCAGGTAGAGAAAGTGTGTCATTAAAAGGACATTAAGATCAAAAAACGGATTATACAAATAATTATTTCATTTCCACGAATTGTAATTTCCGAAATTATAATTCTTTTATAGGAGCCGGCCCATAACGTACGATGGTAGGTACGATTAAAAACTGACAACAATGTAGTTATTTCTGGCATATAGAAAGTACAGGCCTATCTCTGTAACGCTGCCATCTGAATGTGAATTTATCTATAGTAATATGACAATAATAAGAACTATAATAGTATGATAGTAATGAGGTGATAATCAAGGATTTTGTTTGTATGAAAAACCGTGGCACATTTTTGTCAATTATCTTGAAAACGATTGATTTTAAGAAAACATTTCGTTAGTGTAATTCGCATAGTGCGGAACTCAATTTTTTTTAATATGACGTTTTGCGCCATCTGGTACAACGATACCACATCTTTAGCCTGAAAAATATATGTATTGGAGAAATCGCCATAAAGAAGTGGACCAGATAAACAGTTATAGATAATAAGTAAGTTGAAAAGCAGCCGAAAAGCGGAGAAGCAATAAAAAACTTTTTTTCAAATTTTGTTCCACAAATTACCCAAACTTGAGTCCCTTGACTCAAGTTGTACTTGGAAACAGTATGGCAATCAAAAGCACAATTATATAGAGCTTACTGCAAAGATTTCTGTGGGGAAAATAATATAAAACCTATATCAAGAGCCACCTTTTCCATAATTTTGGATCAGCAAAATGTATCTTTATACCAGCCTAAAAAGGAAAGTGCGATGTTTGTGTAGCTTTTGAAACAAAGAATATTTCGCAAGATGAGTAAAATTTTCACATTCTGTTTTTTCTCTTTCACTAACGTGCTTCAGCAGAATATGAAAATTTTACAGCAAGAAAAGGTTACTGACAAATAATCAGATAATGAAGTTGTTACAATATTGATCTGCAATCTGTGCTACTCTGTTCAAAGTCCAATGTGGGTCCCTCTATTACAAAACAAAACTTATCTTACATAATTTCACGATTTACGATCTAAAACGCCAGTAAGGTGAATGCTTTTTGTGGAATGAAACAGAGGGTCAGGTAATGAGTTTGCAACCATAATAGTAATTTCCTCAAAATAAAGTAAGGCATCTCGTGATAAAAAAACTAATTATATTTTGTATAGCGATGGTTGCGCTACTCAAACAGAAATTCTGTATTAGCAAACGCACTCTTCAACTTGGTAATATAAAAAAATTTAACTATAATAAAAAAGTATCTCCAGAAAGGTCATACCTAGATGGGTATGACTATCATTCTACGATAGAAAGATTTATTCGAAAATCCACAATTATTAATGTACCTGGTGACTATGCAATAATATGCAAAAAAGTTATAATGTATTATGGAGGACATATCTGGAGGACATTATCCCTCCAGATACTGACAAAGAATGTAGCGTAGAATCTTTAAAGTAATTTTAAACTGTTTGTCCTAGTTTTAGTGTAGTGTTTTGTACAATTTTATGTTATTATTAATGTTTCCACATTCTACGCTTGCCGGATAGTTTATATTTTGACGAAATGCCCCTGAAGATGCTATTTTAAGCGAAAGTACTTGGGCTAGATTTAATTAACTTGTGCTCGATAATAGCTCGATTATGGAATTTACCTGTTCTATCATTTGACCCTTGGCATACACATGTACGTTTATTGGTGTCTTTGAAAATACTAAAGTATTAGTTTTGAAAACGTTTAGATGTAAACCGAACATTTCGCTGTGGTGAACTACCGCATTTATTATATTTTGTAGTTCTTGTGCGTTGCTTGCTATTAAGATAGTATCATCAGCAAATCTCATGTTGTTTATGCTGATTCCGTTAATCTTAATTCCGCCTTGGACCTGGTCTAATACGTCTCTGAATATAGTTGGGAGACATAATATAAGTGAGGAAAGTGAAACAAGATGTGTGCTATAGAAAAAATTAACCAGTGAATAAAATAGAAAAATAGAATGGACTCAACATACATACAAAAAATGACAGGTAATAAATACGTGAAATATTACGAGAACCATCTTCAAATAGCGATCGAAATAAGGACAATAGTACCCCAAGAAAAATGTGATCAGAAAGCATCAATTCATACTAAAACAGATATTAATAGATAGAATATAGAAGTATATTTGAACTACATATTACATAAAAATTCTTAATAATAATACCACACTTTTCCAATAATCTTCAAATATTTACTAGCCTTTTCGTACGTAACACGAAGGTTAAAGATTTTTTTTCTTTCTCGGTAAGAACATTATTCGTTTTTCTCGGAAAATTTCCAAATCTGTACTTCAATAATTACATGCCACACTCTCCAGCTGACAAATAATATTCTATTTTTAGTTACTAAACAATCAATAATACATGACCTACCTAAGTTCTATTACTAGCAGTAATTGAATTTGTATAGTTAAGACCTCCCATTATCAAAATAGTATAGAAGTGGTTTTGTTTGCAGATAATTAAACCGATAATCAAACCGATTTTTTAGTACTGCAACAAAGATAATATATTGATATTATTCGTAAGTAGATAACATGATTAAAAACCATAGTTGAAATACAATATTAGTAAATGACACTTTTTCTATGGATTTAATCAAAAAACGACAAAAGCAAAGACAAAGGTTAATGAATACGAAAACAATATATCGGGTATTTGATTAGGATTTTTTGAAACCACGGGTTTATTAATTAAAATAATAAACAATTAAATAGAATA